TTGACCCGTGTTCTGTCAAGCTGCGTGCTCCCTCCTGCGCCGAGCGGCAGAGAACACGGGGCATCTGGGGCCCCTTAAGAAGCACATCACCGACGTCCTTCCACCCCCGTCAGCCAGCGCGGCTGAAGGGCAAAGCTTTTCTGCAATGTCAACGCTGGAGCCCGCAGAGCCAGGTTTTCCCACTGCGGCTGGGAGGTGTGGCAGTGTGGGCAGCAGATTTGGTCTGTCAAGCCAGCTGCTGTTGACACGCCGGGGTCTGCCCTGGGTCTTCTGGGAGCAGGCCTGCCGGCTGCCCACCCGGCCCGGCTTTGGAAATGAAAAGGCCCATGAAGTCATCTGTGCGAGGGCATCGATGTCGGGATGCAGCTTAGAAACCCCAGCGAGGTGTGGGGCCGCTCTGCGTGCTGTGGCGCAGGGGAGCCCGTTAGAAATGCCGCGTGTCTGCCCCGCCCCGCCCCACACCTGCCGAGTCCTAACAAGGTCCCCGGGGTGATTCCTGTGCACATCGCAGCATGGTTCTTGCTGCTCTAGAGCGCGGGCCAGGCTCGAGTCCCATCCCTGCTTACTAGCTGGGTGGCCTCAGACGAGTTCCCTCACCTCTCTGAACATCAGCTCTTGCATCCACAGGATGGGTGTGGGGAAGATTCTCTACGCGAGCAGGTTAATAAAAATCCACACGGAAGCCAGTGTGTATGAGGCACTGAACTCGGTGTGTGGGACGCAGACTGTGCGGGCCCATCAGTGGTTGTCGCTTCGGAGACCCGGCTTGTGTCTTTGCTCTGAGTCGACTGGGGGCAAATCACTTTCCTTCTCTGGGCCTCATTTGCCCTCTCTGTGCGATGGGTCTGTTAACCCCTCTGTCACTTTCCTCATCAAAAGGTTGCTCGAAGGAAAAGTGAGAGGGGCCGGGCCTCATCTCCAGGAGCCTGTCTGAGAAGCAGATGTGTGTGGGCGAGGTGCCCCTGGGTGCCCACCTCTTCACCCCTCGCGGCCCCCTTCTCTGCTACTCCTGCCCTTGCAGTAGTGAGGCCAGCTTGCAGAAAGCTGCCTGAGCCCCTTCCTTGCACCTGCTCTGCTCGGCAGCTTGGAATTGAGTCCCCTGCCCCTCTGAGAGCAGCGTGGCCAGGAGAGATGATTCAGCTCAGACCCGTGTTCTGGGCCTTGGCCTCCCTTGAGAGAAGCCCCAGGAGCCCCATGCTGCGTTGAGGGCAGCCTGTGAACTTCTCCCCACCCGGGGTTCCTGTCTCCCACGGTGGGCCCGGGGTGGGACTCCTGGCCTTGCCCCTGACATACCAGGTGACCTTGGACAAATTCCCTATATTCTGTGGGCCTCGGGTTCCTCATGTGTACAGTGGGGGGTTCAGTGAGATGGTCTGGCCTGGGGTCGGTCCTTAGCTTCTCTCCCTGCCTCTCCTTAGCTTTCTCGGTGCCCTTCATCCCTGGCAGGAGCCCCAGCCCCAGTCCCACTGCCCGCCAGGTTCTGGACCCGGCAGCCCCTGGCATAGCTAGGCCTGCCTGCCAACACCAGGGGGGTTGGTAGAGACCAGAGGGAGCGAGGGAGAAGGGGAGCATGTAGGGGAGAGGAGGAATTTTCCTCTGTGTGTGCAAACAGTATCCGTGTTCTCTTGTTTCCAAAAGCCAGTGACGTAACCTACCCTTCATCCATTCTTCCCCTCTGGCCTATTTTTAGCCGGCCCCGACAGCATCCTAAAAGGCTTCCAGACTCGCCTGCTCTGAGGCCATGTAGGGAGGCGGCCATAGGGTGAGGAAAGAGACAAGCTCATCGGTGTGTCTCAGGAGGGCGGGAGGGAGGGGACCTCTTCCAGGCTTCCTCTGGGGAGGGAGAGGAGCTGGGTGGGGAGCCCAGTTACGGCTCCCATGGGTCCTGGGTCTACAGGGGGCCTGGCAGGGTTACAAGTACTCGGTCTGGAGCCTCCAGCCTGGGTTAGAGTCCTGGCTCCACCTGTCCTCACCCTGACCTTGGGCACCTGACTCTGTGCCTTGCTTTCTCCATCCGTAACATGGGGTAACACTACGGCTGTGCTGGAGGGTTGTTAAGAAGACCGAATTATGTCATGTAGAACCGTGCCTGCTAATTATTAACATCCCATTCTACCTCCAGTTAATGTTGGGGGGTACACTGGGAGCCCCTGGGTGCCCTCTGTTCTTTCCTGTCCAGCTTTAACTAATGTGTGCCCGAATGAGACAATACACAGAAAGCCCTGGAACAGCGCCTGGCGCATAATAAGCGCTGAATAAGTGAGAGCTATATTTATTGTTTTTGTTTTAATGTAACCAAGCAGACCTGGGTTTGAATTCCAGCCCTACCCACTAGCTAGCTAGCTGAGCGTCTCTGGGTAAGACATTTAACCTCTCTGGGCCTCAGTTTCCATATCTGTGAGCTAGGGATGATCGCTGTGTAGGAGACTTCTCTGCTGATGAAGGTCGCTACAGGACAAGAACCCAAGATCGCAATGATCAGTACAATAAAAGTTTCTTTCTGACGGGTGCAAAGAGCCCCTATCGGGTGCTGGCTGCAGCTGGGCTCCCGTGCTGTCCCGTGTGAGGCAACCATAGCAGGAACAGTGGCATTTGCACGGCACTTTACAGCGTGTGTGAAGTAGAGAGTGTGGTCCCTCCGGCCTTCATCTCCCCGCGGTGCTGGTGCCAGCACGTGGCATACGTCACCACCGCCTGATATGGTTATGGGCCGTCCCCCCCACCCCTAGACTGGGAGCTCCTGGAGGGCAGGCCGGGATGGGTTCACTGCTGCCCCTTCCTTGCCTGGCCCGGGGACAGGCCCAGGGTGGGTGCTGGCATTGTGTCTGAGGGCTGGACTGGCACGGGGAGCCCACCGTCTGACCACCTGTCCTTCTCGACTCTTGCAGGTGGGAGGAAGAGCTTGCCAAGCGCATGAACCTCCAGACCATGGTGGACACGCTGCAGGAGGTGAGCGCCCTCGGAGGTCCCGACCGGGAGAGGCTCATGGGAACCGTGTGGCCAAGGGGCACTGTCGCGGTGGCACAAAGCCCGAGGCCATTCCTGGCTCAGCCCCTGCTCTGTGCTGCTTTCTGTTGCCTCAGTCTCTCCTCAGTGGAGCCACAAGGCCTCTCCTTGTCCCCTGCTTCAGACCTAGGAAGGGACTGGCACAGTGTTGCAGAAAAGCTCCGGGACAGGAGTTGGGAAGCCTGGGTCTAAGTCCCGGCGCTGACCCCTGCTTGCTGGGTGACGTTGGTCCAGTAACTCTTTCCCACCTTCTCCCCACCTGAGCTCAGGATTGGATGGTTTCTCTCTCTCTCTTTTTTTAAATGCTTATTTATTTATTTTGAGAGAGAGAGAGAGGGGGAGAGGGAGAGAGCGCGCGCGCGCGCGCGCACACACACACACACACACACACACGCACGCACAAGTGGGGGAGGGGCAGAGAGAGATGGAGAGAGAGAATCCCAAGCAGGCTCCGTGCTGTCAGCGCCAAGCCTGACGCGGGGCTCGATCTCACGAACCGTGAGATCGTGACCTGAGCCGAAATCAGGAGTCGGACGCTTAACCGACTGAGCCATGCAGGCGCCCCAGGACTGGATGGTCTCTTGAACTGCCCAGCCCCCAGCTTAAGGGAACTGACTTGGGGCGGGATGCCTCGGAGAGGGCTGGTGGCCGTGTCACCAGGTGAGAACATTCCCTTTCGGTTCTGGCTCTGTGTCTATGGCTCTGCTTCTCACCCACCTGCTGGGTACCCTGGGCAGCAAACTCCACCTTCCTGGCCTTTGAATAGCGACCCCAGGAGAAGGCAAGGAAAAGTTCTTTCCAACATTAAAAAGGAATTGCTTTCTGATATTGAAAGCACTGATCTTATAAGAGATAGAATAAAATAATGTCAATATGTAGAAGGAAAAGGATGAATGGCTGCCCCCCCCCTTTCTTATATAACAGAAATTTTTCTATTTACAAACATAACGTGTTCATGGTCACAGATTTGGAAAATTCAGACAAGTACAGGGAGAAAATAAAACCTACCTCCAGTTCTACCCCTGCATAGTTGACAAATTGCCATGTGGCCTTCTGGTCTTTTCTGTGCAAACACAGGTACTCTAGATGTATATGTTTGATTAGGTTAACACACATGACGTTGCCATTTTTGAGATGGGAGATGGTCAACCATTGGGAATCTCACATGGACCGACCTCATATTTTAACCTGTTGGGATCTCTTGTTATATTAACCTGCTCTTCTCTTCTTAATATCTGCCGGGGATTTTTTTCCATACGATGACTATTTCTTTGAGAAGTGTTTTAAGCCGAGTGGTGCCCTGAAGTGAACTGGGCTCAGAGGAAAGGCGGGCTGGGGTGAGGTCGTCGGCACCCTTTCCCTGGCATGCAGGTGCCAGGCCTGGTGGGACGTCAGGCGTCCAGGGCTGTAGACCCAGGTGCCCAGCCCTTCCTAGCCCTCAGGATGCCTGGCCCCCTAAGCCCGTCCCCATCTCTGTCCTCCACAGGCGGCACAGGAGGCTGAAGCCATCCAGGAGGAGATGAACGAGAAAATTGAGCGGCTCAAGGCCGAGCTGGTGGTGTTTAAGGGGCTCATGAGTGACGTAAGTGCCACCGGCCGCCACCCCAGGCGTCATGACAACCCCTTCCCCCCCCCATCATGCAAAATGCTTCATTCACTCCGAGGCTCCAGAGCTCGGCTTCTAGTTAGAGTCCTGGCTGGCTGCGTTTGCCCCGTGAGGATGTCGGATGCATCCGAGACCAGCCCCCATCCCTCACTTCTGCTTCCCTTGGTCTGAGTAGAGATGCATTAATCTGCTGCTTAACCCATCCCGCCCTCCCCTGGGCTCCTCTGATGGTCTGTTTGCGTTTGCTCCGACTCGTCCCAGCTTGCCACGTTGAGGGCAGGTGGTGGCCGTGGGCCTCGCTGTCTGGGCACGGGGAGGGCCCAGTGGCAGGTTGCGGGAGGCCCCGGGTCTGGCCCGTGCCAGCCTGAGAGGCTCCCCAGGCCAGCGGCCTGTAGCAGGTTTGCTTTGTAAAGTTGGGGAAGGCCAGTGTGTGCATCCTTTTGGCGACTGGAACCTTTCTGAGCGACCACGGGTGCAGGGAGCTGTTGGCAACAAAGGCCTCCTTCCTGCTGGGGACCCGGGTTTCCCGCCACCTTCAAGCAGCGGGCCGTACGTAGGGAGGGCCGCCAGAAAGGAGAAGGAGCCCCGATCGCGGGTGACTCAGCCTGGTGTGGCTTCTAGTCCTGAGGGGTGTGGAGCTGGGTGTGGCTGGAAGAAGCCTCTGGGGGCTGCAGGTGAAGGCCACCTGGCTTTCCCTCACTGGGGTCCTGGGGGACCCCCCCCCTCGTCTTAGGTGATGCCCCGCTGTCAGCCATGGGGAGGGGGGTCCTGGGGAGAGAGCGCCACTTGGCAGGCCCCTCTGTGGGGGACAGGTGGGGCACACGGGGTGGGAAAGAAGGGAAGTCTTTCAACAGTGGGGGCTGTCTTTCTTTTTCCTTTGCTCTAACAAATAAACACCGTGTCTCTTGAGGGGATGCCTTCCAGCAGCCCTTAGGGAGGCCGCCAAACAGGGTCTCACATTGTCTACTCAGCGCCAAAGCCTTTAGCTCCTACGACCCCCCCTCCCCCTCCCCTAACCTGAGCAGCGCTGGCCCCACCCCCGACGCCCAGGAGAAGCTCCCCGGCCCCCTCGGACTCTGGACCCCGGGCCTCACGCCCCTCCGCCCCCTCAGGAGCCTGGGAGCGACTCCCCCGCCCCCCTGTGCTTGGTCCAGCCCTCGCTCACGTAACCCCCCTGCTGTCCTCCCTGCAGCCCATGACAGACCTGGACACAAAGATCCAAGAAAAGGCCATGAAGGTGGACATGGACATCTGCCGTCGAATCGATATCACGGCCAAGCTGTGCGATGTCGCACAGCAGCGGAACTCGGAAGACGTGTCCAAGATCTTCCAGGTGAATAGGGCCACCCAGCTCACCAGCTGCCACTCCCCACTCCCAGAGGGCCTGGCCTCCACCCTGCATGGCCCTATTCCCCCTGAGCCCTGCCCACTCCCCTTCCCCCCAGAGGTAGCGTTTACCCACCCCTCTGGCCTCCCCAGGACGAGGTAGAATCAGGCGCTTGTAGGCCCCTCAGGCTGCGTCGTCAAGGAGGAGTGCTTCATCCTGCGGCTGAAGAGGCCACTTGGCCCGGAGGGGGGCGGGGTGACACGACGGGCTCAGGGAGGGAAAGGAAGTGCCAGGAGGGATCTCAGGTCTCCTCACCCCTCAGGGCTCGGCCCACGGGGCGCCATCGCCCAGGTCGAGGGCCCTGGCCAGGCTGTGGGAGCCCTGGGTTGGCCGACCTGAGCCCTGGCAGTTGAGTCTAAGATTTCCCAAGAGGGGCTTTTGGTCTCTATTTTCCGCTTCCACTGAAGAGCCTCTGTCAGTACCCTGGGGGCTTGTCCAGCTGCCCAGAGGGCATGCGTCATTCTCCAAAGGCTGCTTCTTGAATTTTGGGTTGTGGTTTGGCTTTTTGCTTGAGCCCAGGGCAATACGGTGTGTCGTCGCCTTAAGTGCGTGACTTCGGACGTAGCGGGAGAAATCCGGGCTCGTCCACCTCTGCGCCTTCTTGCTGCCGCCTCTGCTGGGGAGCAGGGGTGACCATGCCAGGCTTTGTTTGGTTTGCTCGTGTCTTGTCTGCTTGGAGTGGAGGAAGCTTGGTGAACCTGGGGCTGCCTGCCCGTTACCTTTGCGTGTGAGCAGGAGGGCTCTGAGCGTGGGGCCTCTGGGCCCCTGTGAGGGGTTTCTCCATCTCTGGCTGGCTCTGACACATCCCGGGTGACTCTGTGCCCCGGGCTGGCCCATCCCTCTCCCCCAGATCGTGGGCCTACTGCTCTGGTGAAGGGCTGAGCCGGGCCGGCCCACCCCCAGGGGAGGGAAGGGTCAGGCCGTCTGTCCTCCGTCCTGCATGTCTCCGCCTCACGCTCCCTGCTAGCTCCGCCTGCTTCTTAGAGGAGTTCAGCTCTGCACCCTTCCTGGCAGTGGCTACCCCAGCCACGCTCCATCCATCCCGTGGGATGCCGGCTCCCTTCCCAGCCCATCCCAGCCGAGCCTCCCACTTACCTCGATCTCTTCCTTTCCGGGTCAGGTGGTCCCCAAAAAGAAAGAGCGTAAGGTGGCCTCTGACGATGACATCTCCGAGCAGGACGGGGAGGTGAACCGGTTCTCAGATGACGAGGTCGGCTCCATGAACATCACGGACGAGATGAAACGCATGTTTAACCAGCTGTGAGTATCTCCACTGCCCCAGCCCTCCCCGGGGCGGGGGGGGGGGCTCCTCTCCAGTTTCCCCAGATTGCTGGGACAGGGGTGGCAAACCGGTGACCTGGGCTGAAAGCAGCCTGCAGATGTGTTTTGTGTGGCCGGCACGGTGTTCTGAAAGAATTTAGATTTATTTTCAATCTTTACAGTTTGGGGAGTTTCACATTTTCAGAAGAGGCCAAGTGGTTAGTGGTGGTCCTGTCAGATCAAGCCTTCCGCTCCCACCATTGTCCTTGCAGGGCAGCGGGAGGGGAGGGGAGGGTAGCCAAGCCGATCCACACACCAGGGCCCCCCAGGCTGGCCGGCGGAGGGCTCCCGACGTCCACTGAGCATCCTGTGTCTGTACGGTGCTTCACAAATGTGACTTCGGGGACTCCAGACAGTCGACCAAGGAGGTTGGATTCCCGTTTCCCCTTTTGTACACGAGGAAACTGACACTCACGGGAGGGAAGCCACTTGGCCAAGACCACCCCACGGATAAGGTGGCGGAGCTGAGATTCAGAGTCAGGCATGTCACCTGTGAGATGCCGCGGGCCAGTGGCAGAGTCCGGGGCTGGCTGTGGTCAGTGGTGGGCTGGAGCCAGCTCGTACCAGCTCATGAAAGCGATCGCACACATGTCTGCCCACTCCATGTCCAGTGACGGCACAGGGAAGTCGCTTCAAGTTTGCCCTGGTGGGAAACTGGCGAATACTTTCCATCAGGGCTGCTCTCCCCTCCCCTGTGGAAAGCTGGTTTCCTAGAACCCCCACCGGCCGTAGTCGCCTAGGGCAGGGACACACTGTGTATGGCCTTGGCCTGCCCAGTGCCATATTCTCAATCCAAATCCATCTTTAACTGTGACTCATGTAGTGCCCTAAAGTGGGGAGGGGGAGGGGAGAGGAGGGTGCAGCTGTGGGCATTAGGTGACTCACCTATGGGCCTGGAGTCAAAGGGCTGGGCTGGGACAGGGTCTCTGGGGCCGTTTCCTCCTGCCCCACGGGCCTGCTCTTGGCTGCTCTTTCTCTGGAGGCCTTCGCAGTGGGGCACCCAAGCCCTGAGAGCTCTGCTTTTCCCCAGGGCTCTGGGTTTCCAACAGCAGGGCTACGTTTGAGCTCTTGGCTCTCCTGAGCCATCGCAAAAACCCCACAGAACCCCTCCAGAGGGGGCACGTGTCTTTCGCAGTTGCCTGTGACATTGTACTCAGCTCAGAAGCCAGGGCACAGCCATCTCCTGATGGCTTCCTGCAAAGCTCTGGGGCTGGCTTAGCATTACAGAATCTGAGGGTCACTCAGCCCAGCCCTTCACATACAGATGGGGAAACCGAGGATAAGAGAGGGGCCTGCCAGGAGCTGGAACAGAGCGGGGTCCCTGACTCTCGGTCGAGTGCTTTGTCCCCAACTGGCTGTCTTTGTGCTCAGAGAGATGTCTCCCTCTGCCCTCCTTGCAACATCATCCCTGCCCTGGTCCCTTTGTGGCCGAGCCAGGTGACTCTCAGGGAGACAGGAGTCAGAACCGAGCAGGGATGGGTTTGCCTGCCACTTCCTTGTACTTGTCATTCTCTTGACACAGAGCTGAGGTGGGCTGCGTTTTGGGGGTTTGCTGTTTGAGGGTGACAGTCTCCTGGACTCTTGATATCATCTTCTGACGTCCCCTCCAAATGTCATACTCTCATCGAAGAGAACTCTTGGTTGGATCCGGTTGTTCTGAATGTTAGGCTGGGCATTGTCCGCCCCCCCAGGCCCAGGCTGGGTTCATTCGCATGGATTCAGGGGCTTTGTCCCCGTTTTCAGAAAGTCACCAGGGGATAGTTAGGCCTCCTAGGAATGGGGTGAGCTGAAAGGGACAGTCCCAAGAGCTGGGTCTGGGGGCTCCACCGGAAGCAGTACTGTGTATACAAAGGAGGTTCCAATGCAAAAACGGGTGCCTGGTGTTGACAGGTCTGAACTAGGTTCAGTATCTAATTAGATTTATCAGTTGTACAGTTGCCTAGATTAAAAAAAAAAAATCCTCTGATCCCTCTCCACCCTTGCAGTCCTGGCCGAGGCCGTGCTGACCCCACCCTCGGCAGGGCCCCGGCCCCTCCCACTGACGTGTCCGTGTCCCCTCGCTATGGACTGGGCAGAGACCCAAGCCAGAGGCTGCCCCCCGGCCGGTTCCACTGATGTCTTTGAATAATGCGCCCGTGTCAGGGCTGTTTTGTTTTGATCAAAATCTGTTGCTTGGGCTTCAGACCAAGGAGGAGGGGAGGAATTTGCTACTTTCCCTGCACCGGGGCCAGCTCCTTGGCTCCGCCTTCTCGATCGTCTGACCCTCCTCTCTTGCCCATCTTCCCATCCTTTCTGGCTCCCCGTTACTCAGCCAGGGTTTCCTTTAGATTCCAGACGCTAGAAAGGAAGTGAAGTCAGCAGTCGAGTATGTGTTGCGGTGCGGGTGGACCCCAGGGGCTCGTCTGGAGCTAGTCCAGGCCAGCATTGCCTTCCGACACAGCCCTGGTCCCGGCTCTGGTCCCTGGTCCCTGGTCCCTGGTCCCTGGACCCACGGAGCCACCTACAGGATCCAGCAGGAACTGCATTTTGGTGGGGAACCTGGCTCCAGGGGAGGCTCTAGGTAGTTTTTAACCGGAAGTTCTTCTTGGGCCCAGCCTGGTGGCCTCCAGCCTGATCCTTTGGGAATAGGGAGCAGTGTCCCGGAGAATCCAGGGAGGAGTTGAAGGAGAGCCCCGGGACTCACGGTTCTCTTCTGTGGCTGATTCGACGGATCGAATGATTTAACCCCACAGACCTCAGCCTTCCCATCTGATTTTTGAGGTCCCCTCCAGCAGGGGGAGCCAGGGCATCTCCAGAAACCCCTCAGTCCCAGGCCAGCCTGTATGGTCTGTTACTACTTCTAGTCCCGGTGAATAGGGAGGCTCTGAAATTACTTGGGCTTTGAATGCAAACCCGATTTCCAGCATGTGTTGGCCCAGCAGTCTACCTAATCCCTGCAGCCTTCAGTGTCCTCATGTGTAAAATGGGAGTAATAATTATGCTTGCTTCATAGGAACGTCGTGAGGATGGAATGAAATGCAGTTTAATAGAGGCGTAGCGCCCTGTTGCGTGCCCGGCACATATGGGTGCTCGGTGTGTTTTCCTGGGGAGGAAAAGGCTGTGGGAAACATCTGGTTTTTAGCCCCAGTTTCTGTTACAAGCAAGCAGTGTGACTTTGGACAAGTGTGGTTTTCTTTCTGAGCTGCAGTTTCCTCACCTGTAAATTGAGAACAATAGCAACCTTTTCCTAGTTGTGGAGAAGATGATATAAATCGCTAGAAAGGAAGTCAAGTCAGCAGTGGACTATGTGTTGTGATATACTCTTGCAAAGTAGGGTCTCAAGAAATGAGCTGGTACCTGAGTGAAAATAGTCACAAGGGATGCCTGTGTGGCTCAGTTGGTTAAGTGTCTGACTTCGGCTCAGGTCATGATCTCGCTGTTCATGGGTTCGAGCCGTGTGTCGGGCTCTGTGCTGACAGCTCAGAGCCTG